GTCCTGCCAGGAGGTTTTCCACAGTGTCTTCAGCCAGCCATGATCCCAATCCTGCTGTGCGTACCACTCGTGATGATGCTAACCTCCCTCTGCTTTCTCCTCCCGGTTCCCCGCTATTTGAGCCGCGGCTTCCTGTCTCCCTCCACTACACCGTGAACCCCCAGAGGGAAGCCATCTCTCCCTCCTCAGAGAAGCCCTCACACACGTGCACAAGCACCATGAGCAGCTGAGGTTTGAGAAACAGGTGCTGAATCAGCCTCCCAGCGCAGCCGCCCCAACCTGCTCACAGAGTCTACGTTGGACTCAGGGGCTCCGGAAAGAGCCAGCGTCCACAAACTCGCGCTCCACTCCTTCCGTCTGAAGCACAGCGTACGTACCTAGGTTCAGGAACTCGAAAACCCTCTGCATGGTGTACTTGACATTGGACGCGTGGTCTTCCAGGCGAAGAATGAGGAACTGCTCTTTACTGAAGACGCTGAGCCAGTCCAGAAGATACACCGCGTACAGGCCTACCTGGAGCCTCACCTGGGACAAAGAAGACAGCAACATTATCTCAGGAAAAATATCCCCTCCCCTTGCACCAGAAGACACTTTTCCAAACGTGTTACAGTGTTTCATGATCAGACAATACAAAAGAGGAACACTAGCAAACCATCACCTCCAAGGTGGATTTTAACGTGAGGTGGTGTTTCTTCCCGGAGGGTTTTTGCACTTCACGTACAACGCATTTCCACGCATAGAACCAGTTGCCCTCGAGTCTGTTCTGACTCATGGCAACCCCGTGTGTGTCAGAGGAGAACTGTGCTCCATAGGGTTTTCAATAGATGATTTTCTGGAATTAGATCACCAGGCCTTTCTTGTGAGGCACCGCTGGGTGGACTCAAACCATCAACCTTTCAGTTTGTAGCCAAGCACTTAACTGTCCGTGCTACCCAGCAGCATTTAACCCTCACAGGAACCCCGGAAGTAGCGCCACACCACCATTTCAGGGGTGAAGAGACTGAGAGGTCAAGGTCGCAATGGTTGTAATGAAACACGGGCGTCAAGAGGGAAGGAAGCCTCAGACTTGAAAATGGCAGAGATGTTTTTTGCCTGATCCCCTGGCTGCCTCTCGGCTCCCAGTGCTGCACACAGGCTGTGCAGACACAACTGCAGTCCCCTCGCAGACAGCCCAGGGTCTCTGAGTGCCTGAAGCACCGTGACCATGACTGTGCGCAGCTGAATAGCACTCAACGCAGCCATCGGCTTCTTTCTCCTTACACACGTCCTGGTCCTTGTCCTCCTCCTGCTCCTTCCCATGCCAAGCTGTAAGCTCCAAGAACACGGCCCCTTCCCCTTTCTCTCTGAGCCCCCCTTCGCCAGCGCCTCCACTCTCGCCCCCACCCCTTCCCACGTGCTCAGGGACCCTGCTCCCGTCCCATCTCCAACCACTGCCTAGTTGAGCACTGCTCTCCTGTTTAGGCCCCACCGGTACCTGCCTGGGTGCTGTCACGGCCTCCTAACTGCTGCTCCAGCACTGTCTCTCTGTCCCAAACCAGCCCTCATCTGCCGCCAGCTTCCCACCCACTGCCCCTGTCACAGCCAGCCCCTCCCTGTGCCAAACCCCCAGTGACTCCTACAGGTAGAAAGTCCTTGGACTGGTTGAACCTGCAACTCATCCCCTTCTACACGGCCCACCTCCCAGCTCCCCAGCCTTCCACTTGTTTAGACAGACCCTCTCCCTAAATGTACCCTTTTCTTCCCAGCTCAGCCTTGAGCTCCTTGAAGGCAGGGACCACGGCTTTCCCACTGGCCCACCCAGCCCAGGAGTGCGCCCCAATGCTCCACGGGGTTGTCTGGGGGAGTGCTGCACAGTGCTAGCAATGAGGCTCTGAAACATCTGACAAGATAAGTACCAACACTAAACAGTTTCAGCTCTCGCTATTCCTTCCCCGTTTCGTTATTTTTCTAACCATGTAGGAGGACGTGGAGGAAGAAAAACAATTAGAGGGGATGCGATGTCTCCAAAATTCACTCGCTGCATCCAGCCCACACTCTGTCGTTACCTGATATACGGGCTCATGACAAACACCTCAAGCTGGGCCAAAGCTAGAGAGAATGAGTCCGTGTTAGTCCTGGAAACGTAACTATGTGTCGCCACCAACGCGAAGGACTCATTAACGTGGCGCTGTTCAGTCCCCGGCCTCACAGAACGTGTCAATTCTCTCTCCCTCTCAGGCTCACGGCAGGAAGGACCACGGCTGGGGAAGCAGCCCAAAGAGGCTCATCTCATCAGAGAACCCACCCTTGCTACTGCAGACTTTTCTGGAAGGAAAGGACCTGGGCGTTCGGATAGGGTGGTTTTTTCTTTTTGTTCCTGTTGTTCTGTTTCTTGGGTAGTGTTATACATATATATGTATGTATGAAAACATTTCCCATTTCAACCACTTTAGATGTACAATTCAGTGGCCTGTATCACCATTTCCCCCCGCTAAAGCAGGTTCAAGCCCCCACTAAGGCGGGTTCAAGCCCCTTCTCAAGTTTATAAGGTGCTGGGGCTTTAGACACGGCCAGCAATGTCATTTTCCTGATGACGCTGCAAACTTATGTTCATAATTAGGCTGTCTGGGATTTCAAATCATGTCATTTAATAATGCTCAGGAATTCCCTAATTTTCTCTGCACAGAATTTTATAAATGCTGGATGATTAAACTAGACCTCCTATGCCAGCAACCACATGCCCTTGAGGCCACAAGCCCACCAGTGCCTGATGTCCCTCTCTATGACAGTCTCTGAGATGGCCCCACAGCCATGGGGGAAACACACAGGACACACAGGGACACATAGAGGACATATAAGGGACACAGGAGACACAAGGGGACCACGGGGGACACATGGGACACACAAGGGACACACAGGAGACACTCGTGGGACACACAGCACAACCTCAGCCCCGACCCAGGAGCCACTCACAAAGGACAAGCTCTCTGGCCCCACCAACAGCGAGTCAGGCCTGGGCAGGGCTCAGAGGTGGTCTCGGGGTGGCAGCAGGTCAGGAGGGGAGAGGAATCCTGGGCACAGAGCCTCAGGCGGGCTGGTGGTTTCTTCCCGCACTGAGCCTGGTGCTGCGCACTCAGTAGGCGTCCAGTATATGCCTGCAGAAACTAATCAAGCCCACAGATGTCCTGTGAATGACGCCCCACCTCCATTTCTTCCAGGAACTGGCTCTTGCCTCCTCCAGGCCCCACACGGATGGCCCTGAATCCCGCTCACAGACAGTAACAGTAATAACCAAGAGCTAAGGACGAGCGTGTTTGGTTAAACACAGGGCCAACACACACGAGGGAAACCATGAGAAGGACTGACGCAACAGCCCCGACGATGGACTCAAACACACCAAGGATCAGGAAGACGGCGCGGGGCCGGGCAGCGTTTCATTCCACCGTACGCGGAGTCGCCATGAGTCAGAGCTGACTCGATGCCGACCGACAACAAGGCGAGGGCACGTGGCCCAAAGCTGGACAAGACCCGCAGGCCAGAAAACGTGCACCCATCTCGGGCTTCTCCCTTTGATCCCACCCCGATCCAAGTGAGCAGGGAGTCCCTTCCACTCTTCCTCCTAACTGTGCCTGACGCCTCCACGGCTCTCCAGCCCTCTGCCACTGCCCCCACTCAGCCACTGCCTCTCGCTGGAACTCCTGCAGGCATCCCCACTCCCCTGTGCCTCCGTCCTGGGCTCCCCAACCCCTCCAGGACCCCACCCCCAGTCACCTGCCACCATGCACCCACATCTTCTAAAATGAGAACCCCCACAACCACCCCCTGCTTACAGCCTCCCGTGGGGCCCTATGTCCCTCAGGATAAAGCCCAAACTTCTTCACAAAGCTCATCTGGCTCCTGGGGATGGAGTCCCACTCATAGGCCGCCTCCCCTGCTCCCACCTCCTCAGCCACCACCCACCAGGCCACCCACCCGGCCACATGGGTTGTGCTGCAGGCAAGCAAAACGCTTCCCTCCCACAAACTCCTCGGTGCCTTCAGGCCTTGACAGGTGCGGATCTCTCCACCTGGACACCTACTGCCACCTGCCGTACCCACCGTTTCCCTTGTCAACTCATCCTTTAGGCCTCAGCACAGATATCACCTCCTCCGGGAAGCCCTCCCTGATGCACTGGTCTCAGATGGCCTCTGCTGGTGGCCAGAGCTCCCTGGACTGGCCCCTATCTCACTCCCGCTAGCGAGGTGCATTTGAAGGCCAGGACCATGCCTGTCCCATCACCCTGTAAGCCCAGGACTCAGAGCTAGGCCCAGAACATAGAATGAATGCCTGCATGAATGAACTGATCAACAGTCAATCTCTAAGCCATACGACAACCTAGTAAAGCAGTATTATCACCCCCATTTCACGGCTCAGGAAATAGAGTCTCAGAGAAACTAACTGCCCAGAGTTGCCAGCTAGTAAATTATCAAGCTGGGAATTGATCCCACACCACCATCTGGCCCCAACGCCCCCTTCCCCCGGCACGATTCTGCGGTTATCTGTATGACTGTTGCATCTTCCTTGCCCAACTATAAACTCTTGCAGGACAGCCTAGCATGGTATCTATTGCCTCTTGGCACCCTGCCCAGAGCTAGTGCCCTGCCTTCCAGATAAGACGTCCTTGATAACAAAGAAGACCGAGTGAAGCTTCTTGACCTTGAACCCCCACTGTCCCTAGGGAGTCCCAAGCCTCCACCTCAAACCCTGTCCGTTCATGTCTCACCGTGCGGGCCACGCTGAACAGAGCAGGGCTTGTAAAGCCCCACCCCGGGCAGGTGACTGCATTAGCTTCACTTCGGAGGGGTCACGGGCTACATGTGGCCCTGCAGAAGAAGAATTTACAACAGTCCAGCGGGTACCGCGCAGAGGAAAACCACACCCCGGCTAAGACACGCTGAACTCACCATTAACAGCTTCCTGTGCATTGAAAACGAAACAAGGCTAAGGCAACACCATCACAAAGGCGAGAGACTTACAGATACATTCCTGATGGGAAAACAAGAGGACAATACGGACACTGTTTTTCAGTTGAGAGCCGGTGGGGAATTTTTTAATCCAACAAAACACTCTGCCATTAGCTAGAACGCTCTTCAAACAGTCCGAGAGCTGGATGTCCCAGAGCCTGCCAATTCTAATTGCCGGGCGTGTTTTCCAAGTTGCACTATATGGTAATCTTCCTAAACGCGCCCTCCTTCTCCCTCAGAAGGAGGCAGTGGCATTGTGTCGGTCAGCAGCAGGGAAGAAAGGACGGAGCCAGCTGAAAGGGCCCATCTGTATTCCCACTTTTACGGCCATGAATATTTGGTTTCGCATTAGCCACCTCTCAAAGGCGATGTATGCGGCATTTGCACATTAAAGCAAGCTGTGTGTTTATATGCTAAAATCCAGAGCCGCAATGCCACCTGCATAATAACAGGCCAACAGCCCAGTAGGACAGGGGTCCGGATGTCGCCCCTACGTACCGGCATGGCATTGTTCAGCGTGTTGTTGTAGACGCAGGCGCGCAGGGAGTAATCAAGCACGCAATTTTCAAACAGCTGCAGAGCCTCCGCCACTTTTTCATGGAAGTCATCTGCAGATTTATTCGAACTTGCAAAGTAGAGATAGTCTGAGTACAACCTGTGAATAAAATAAATGGGTATTTTTACCAGCCGTGGATGTGAAATCATGCCACGTGGGTGACAACGGAAATCCACGTGCAACTGCATTATCATTAAAACGCAACAACTGTGCTTCGTGCCGTGCAGAAGCGCCACCTCCGCCTCCCCGCCCTTCACCACCACTGCACTCTCCAGCTCAGGCGGATTCCAACACGTCTGCAGTGGTCCCAAACAAGCCCCTAGCAGGTGTTTTTGTTCCTGTAGTCACCTCAGGCCACGGCCCTGTTTTCAGAGGAACCATGAGCTTTGAAACACCACCAGCTCACAAAAATTGTACAATAGCAAAGAGAGGCCAGGAAAATTGTATGCACCTTTCGGTTTCTATCCAACAGAGGCAACGAAAACAAGAGCATCTGTGCAATTCCACATGAAATTCCTTCCACAGACATTCCGGACATTGAAAAACTTATGACGTGTGCCCTTCTAGATTGGCAGGGACTGCAATGTGTAAACACCCCCACATGTGTGTGCAAACACCTGTAGACTTATGTTTACCCATGCGCCAGCTGCCGTTGAGTTGACTCCCACTCATGACGAGCCCGTGTGTCCGAGTAGAACTGTGCTCCCCAGGGTTTTCAATGGCTGATTTTTTGGAAGTACATCACCAGGCCTTTCTTCCAAGGCACCCTGAGTGCATTCATCACTTGTACCACTCGGGGATATATTAATACAGACACCACCCACATATATGCAACAATGTTTTAGTACATGAACTGCGTGGGGTCTCCTACTCCTTTTTCTATTTGTAGAGAGGGTAGTTATCTTTTCTCGTTTTTTTTTTTTTTTTTTCCAAAAATCCGTTTTGTTTGCTTTGTGCCTTTCTCAGCATTCTCCCTGCTTGCCTGCACCTCCTCGTAACCCCTACTACTCTACCCAGCCCCTCTGCACACGCAAAGTCCCCAGCTGCGTCTGCCCCTCCTGGCCGAGGGCAAAGCTAGGCTGATGCAGAACCTGGCTCCATGGCTCTGCGATGTCAACACTTCTCTCCTTTCAGCTCCGTACTTTCTACTCCCCCAGCTTCTCCAACCTGGCGTCCCTCTTTCTGGAGAGGACAATTCTGAAAATCTTCTTCTATACCTGTATACCTGGGGGTTTTATTCAGCACTGGCAACCGCACCCAACGCTTCCATCCCCAGCTCTCAGCCATGCACACTCCTGCGAAAACTGGGGTCCCTCGTTGCCCCAAAGGAGCTGCAAATGCTCCTTCCCTGCCAGCCCTTGCCTTGAATGATAGTCAAAGCAGGAGGCAAAGGTTCTTAGGGACAGGACCAGTCATATTCCACTCTGTGTCTCCCACTTGGCACAGTGCCTTTACCCTCAAACCAAAAATCAAACCAGGTGCTGTGAACTCTGACTCATGGTGACCCCATGTAGGTCAGAGTAGAACTGAGCTCCAAATGTATTTCTTGGGAAGTAGATCACCAGGCCTTTCTTCCAAGGCATGCTGGACGGATTCGAACCTCTAACCTTTCTGTTAGCAGCCAAGCACTTCACCATACGCGCCACCCAGGGACTCTGCCTTCAACCCAGCCCTTTAGGATTCATCCAAGCCAATGTCCACAGTGGACATCTCCTACAACTCCTGAGATGTTCGGGAGTTGCCCGTGGAGATCCTAGAACCCACACGCTCATGGGAACTAGGCTGTTCTGTGCATCACAGTCTGCTCAGCCAAACTCTCCCAAGGACTTGATTCATGACTGGTCATCAAAGCTGCTTAGTGACTGTGGCAGCGGCCAGCACAGCGAGCACATTCTCCCACAGAGCCATGCTCATCCACGTGATTGCCCGCAATGACACAATGCCAGCCTATCTCTGTGTCCCCAACATCAGCTGTGCTCTTTTCCCTCTTAAATGAGGACAGGCATCAAGACTGACACACTGCATCTGTCACTGCAGGGTCAGCTGTACTTGCTATCATCTGAAAGACCAATGGATGAGCCACAGTTAGACTCATGCGGGGCCCAGGATGCGGTTCAGCTGTATGTGCCGAGGGGTCCCACACGGCAATCAGTCTGATGGATGTCCTTACTGGTGTCACCCATATCCTAACAGTCCTGCCAATGCTGTGACTCAGTCCAAGGAGCTCTATCAATGAGAAGTAACGATGCCTCTCAACCTGTCATTAGAATCTACATTTAAGGAGAAATACATGTCCAGTGTTTTTATCATGGACTTGCACACAGCCATCCAATTCTTTGGAGGAACCGGAATTCTATTACATAAATTATTACTGGGTGAAAAACCCAACCACTGGCTCAAGCCTTCCATACTGAGATCCCTCTTTGTTCTAACATTTCTTGTCAATTTTTGCCTAATAAATAAAACAAAAGCACTTGGGCTTGCCTCCATTTTAAATACAAAGTAATTTCATAAAGAATCTGCTGGTTTCTGAGTTCCGTACAACTAGATGGTGCCCGGCTACCACCGACTGCTCTGACAGGGATCACAGTACAGTATCCCAGACAGAGCTGGAGAAAAATGTAGAGCAAAACTCTTAACTCACACAAAAAGACCAGACTTACTGGTCTGACAGGGACCGGAGAAACCCCAAGAATACTGCCCCCGGACACCATTTTAGCTCAGTAATGAAGTCACTCCTGAAGTTCACCCTTCAGCCAAAGATTAGACAAGACCCATAAAAGAAAACGAGACTAAAGGGGCACACCACCCCGGGGGTAAGAAGGCAGGAAGGGACAGGAAAGCTGGTAACAGGAAACCCAAGGTCGAGAAGGGATAGTTTTGACATGTGGGGTTGTTAACCAATGTCATAAAACAATATGTGTACTAACTGTTTAATGAGAAACTATTTGTTCTGTAAACCTTCATCTAAAGTACAACTAAAAAAAAAAAGAATCTACTGATTCTATGCAAGTTTTTTACAAGTACAGAAGTAATTCCTGAGAAAAGAATTGGGAACTGTCCAATGTTGCAACTAGCTGAACCTACCCCCACCCTGGGCAAGACTAAAGTCCTGCATCACTTAACATCCATGATGTGTTCTGTGAAATAGGACGTTATATGATTTGGACATTGTGCAAACACCATATTACATACTTAGCAAAGCTATATGGGATACCTTTTGTTTCACTTCCAAATCAATACTTCTCCTTTGCCTCTTGCTGCTGCTCTCACTAGCACTGGTACTGTGGCATTTGGGAGCCACGATACACTTCACGTTAAGATTTTTGAAAGAAAATCAAACAGAGATAACGCTCCAACACTCAAGAGATGCACGATGCACAAGACTGGATGCTGCTGCCGACGAGTTGAAGTGTACACTGTTATACGGTAAACTTTTTATTTGAAAATAACGATAGAAAGTCCAGTCCAGTACATACATAAGCCAGTAACATAGGTGTTTATTATGACATATGTGTTACAGGTTATATATGCACTGTACCATTACACGCCTGGCAGCACGATCACTTTGTATACAAGACACACGAGAGACATGTGCTGCATGCTGGAAGCCGTTGCGTTTGCCAAGTCCAGTTATGTCTGCTGTGTCCTGTTCTCTGGGTGAGATTTCTGAACTCTGTTATAACCTTATGGGACCACAGATGTATGTATACGTAGTCGGACATTTTCATCTGTTTAGGGTGCAGTGAAATGAACTCATGACACCTGCCTTCTGGGAGTCAAATTCACAGCCTGTTAGAGTCAGACCCCAGAGGGTAGAAGACTTTCCTGGCCTCTCAGACACCTCCAGGTACTCTGGATCTGCCCACAGAATCACCTCTGGGTTTTGGGGTCCCCTAGGGCCCACGTGAATGCTGGAATGAGCAACTGTCTTAGCGACATCAGCGAATCCTTCAGTAACTTTGTCAGCAAATATCTGAAAAAGGACTTGCTTCACCATAATGAATGGCCACGACCTCCTGTTTGGATTCTAAACCCAAATTCCAAGGAAGCCTGAGGAGTTATGTCAGCATCTCTCTCCCTCCACAAGACCCCGGAACTGTGACCCAGAACTTGCAGAAGGGTCCCCCATGGAGAAGCGAGAAGGAAGTCCAGAGCAAAATGGTGGTCTTGCTCTCAGGGCAGCACTGTTTGGATCCTCCCAAAGAATAAGGCTCTGACTTCCAAAGAATGTCTCCAAGAAACACTTTCATAATCCCCACCACCCTCAACTACTCTCTACGGGAGAGGGGGCAAGTTAATGATCTTAATTGCCTTAAAATCACTCAGCAATGTTGACAAGACAGCTATTGTATCAAGAATACGTATCCAAATGGACCTGAAAAGCTGGGGCAAGCACACACATATATGTAACAAGCTGCAATGTAAGGAGACAAATCGAAATGTCCACCTCTTTGTCTTTAAAATAACTGTAAGAAAAGATGAGGTACAGGACTGAGGCCAACATGAAAAACTGGCTTAGTTGACATAAACTCATCACGAATCATCCCAGAACTGCAGGAACTCTAATGCAATCTCAGGATGCATTAACAGAGGTACGGCATTGAGGATGTGGGAGGGTGTCACTGTGCTCCATGCAGGCAGATTGGAGTCCAAAAGGAGCTGCTCCACCTGGAGGAGCCGACTCCATCTTCAAGCGGCTGAAAGGGTGTCTCGGAGTGGGAGGAGACCTTTCCCTTACTTCTGAAGGACAGGCCAGTGGATAGAAGGTCCAGGAAGAAAGGCTTTGGTTTGATGTGAGGGCAATTTCTCAGCTAGGGCAGTCCAGCATGAAGGGAGGGACTGGGGTGGTGGGAGCAGCCTGGACTGGGGCAGGGGGCCTCCAGGGCGGGGTGAGGCCCAGGTGACCCTAACACCCTCCCCAGCCCCAACTTCTGGGGCTGCCCATTCCCTTCCTGTGGGACCACCTCCTTCTCTTCCTCTCAAACCATCCACAGACAGGTGTTAGCATTTGGCCAGGGCTGTTTCCAACAGCCATTCCAAATACTACGTCCAAATACATTATGGGCCTTCTGTGCTGTGGTTATCTCAGAGTGTGC